ATTACAACACAAAATATATGTTACTTATTTCCAATTAAGAAGTGTTTGAAATCTACTCAACTTGAATTTTAAGCTTCTCAAATTAACATTAGTATCTGACAGACCAATGGATCAATCTGAAGTAATAATTTTTTTACATATTTTCTAAAGTTTTTTAAGTAGCACAGAACCAACTATAATAATAATTTAATCGTTATTCAACATAATAACATAACAATAATAAATACTACAATCATAATGATTAACTGAAGGAACTGATGAGAAATACGGCTGACAAAACATTTTTTGATGTTGAGATCACTTTATGAATAACATTCATACAGGCACTAAGATTGCTGGATGCTCTAGACAAAGTCTGCAGGTAATTCTGAAAATTTGTGTAGTTGAAACTTGAATTTAGAAACATGAGTAGATGGTGCTTTTTTTGTAACATATCAAATAGTATTTTTAAAATCTCTTTTTGTATTAGATTTGTTTAACAATATTCTAAACAAATTAGATTGTCACATAAAATTTCATAAAAGAAAATAATCTACATCTTACATCTTAATGAAGCACACTATTTCTCATTTAAAAGAAACTTGAGCTGGGTGCAAGGGCTAACCCCTGTAATCCCAGCACTCTGGGAGGCCAAGGCAGGAGGATTGCTGAGCCCAGTAGTTCGAGACCAGCCTAGGTAACACAAGGAGACCTTGTCTATACCAAATTTTAAAAAAAGCTTGGAATAGTGGCACACGCCTGTAGTCCCAGCTACTTAGGAGGCTGAGCTGGGAGTATCGCCTGTGCCTAAGAGGTTGAGGCTCCAGTGATAATGCCACTGCACTCCCAGTCTGGATGACACAGTGAAACCCAGACTCAAAAAAAAAAAACCAACCAAAAAAATCCCCCAAACAAACAAACAAAATAAACTTGATTATAACTTTCAAGTGCTCAACCAATTATTTTTGCTGTTTAAAGATGTATAATCAACTCTATTCTCCCATTTATTATGTAAAATGATGTTGTAGCAATTGTACTTAGATCCAGTCATCCAACTGAAAGACCAAAAATTGTGGCTTAAACATAAAATATACACTTTCATCTCATATGTAAGTGAAATGGCTAGACTTATGACATTATTTTTCCATCATATTTTGGGTTAAAGTATTAATAGGTGGGGTTGATAAAGAAAAATAACTTGCATATTCATTTGAGAGGTGAATGACAGGTTAATAAAAGTATTACCTATTATTGGTCATACACTACAGTCAGTTTTTGAAAAGTCTTAATATCAGCTTAATTTTATTAAACAGGTGAGGTCCATTCTGAATTGCTTGTCACAAAATTCACTCCTTTCATTCTAAAATCATTTTCTTTTTTTAAATATTTAATCAGTATTTTTAATTATGGTTTTGTGGGGTACAGTTAAGGGTTAGGTGTACAATTACATTTCATTCAGGCACCCTGTTGATAAGAGGTGTTTCAATTTTTTCTTATTTCTGTCATTTTCTCTGATTTCTTTTGGAACAGAATGCATTAGTTTTCATTTATCTCAGCTTAAGTGTATTTGTGGAATCCTCAGCACAATGCTGGTTAATACAGACTGTGTCCCCACTTAAAGTCTTGGAGGGATCTAGAAGGGAAATTTAGAAAACTCAGACTTCAGCTTCTCCCCACCATGAGGAAAAGAGATATCACAGGTCTGTAGCTACAGTGGCAATTTTCCAAGTTTATGCTAAGAAAGACTTCAAATTATGTTTTGTTAATGATGAAAAGTAATTTAGAAGACATTAAAACATTCTCCTTCTTCCATACATTTAAACATTCCACATATGGTCTAGATATCACTAATTTTTTCTTAAGAAAAGTTGCTGTTTTTATTAGTCCTCTCTTCTTCAGAATCTCTGAACTTCCTCAACCAAGTTCTTTCCCCCTGCCTTTATGTATATCATGAAGATTCCTTTGTGCAACCTCCAAGTTGCACCTCGGAATTTTCTTCTTCTTCTAAGCTTAATTTCTTTATTCTTTTCCTTATTTTGCCACTACCAACTTATATGGCTCATTCCTTCCTTTCCCCAGCACTCATTCTTTTCTTAACATTTTTGCGTCTGTATTGTCATCCTTTTTCCTGAGCTTCTTTCCCCAATTCTTTCTGCATGGCTTAGGAACACCCTATTCTGTTCTACTGTAGATTCTAAAACCCTCTTCCTTTTAATTAAATTCAATACACCCTCAGCCTCATCAGAAAGTTCATTTCCCTTATCCTGAATGGAATATTGATCCTTCAGTAAGAGTACCACCTCCCTCAGAAACATTCTGAGGGGAAGTGGCTCAAGTCCTATGCTTTTTAAGCCCAGAAGTGGTGTTAGCACTCTTCTAGGTTTGCACTGCTACTTCCACATGCTTACTTTTCTAATTTCATGGAACCTCTGTCTTTTATGTTTGTATCATTACTCTTCTTTGCTGCTATCATCCACATCCCAGGCAATTTTCTTCATCCTTTTCCATCAAGCTTAGGTCCTTAATGACTTCAATATCTATATAAAAATTTTAGCATCAAAGTTTGCTGCTTTTCTTGCATTCTTAAACTGTAATCCAGTCTCCATTTTAGAAACCCACTCCCAGGATCAAATATTGCATCTTTATATTACTGGAAACTGCCCAACATCTGAAAAATTCCGTCTGATAACAACCTGCTCAATTTGCTTCCCTTGTTTCAGATATCCCACAAATTCTAATTCTTTCGTTGAACCCCTTTTCTCCTAGATCATCAAAAATTCTGCAAGCTTTCAGATGCCAACAAGATTTAACATGATGAATATCCTCCTCAATCCATTTGAATTACTTCAGTCACCTTCCTTGTCAGCCACCCTCAACATACTATCTTCTCTTTTTCTTTGTTATAACTACCCACAAACTTCCAACCTTGGTTCCAAATGATTACATCCAAAGTGTGCTCATGAGCCAATCACACAAACTTAGCGAACCAGTACTACTGCAATACAGGGTACCCACTCAGCTAAACTATAGCCATTATTCCAGATGTGCCTGGTGAGCTTTCTCTCTCATCATTTCATGGAAGCTACCCTTAATTTTGCAATTTCCCCAAACCATCAAGATGCTTAGTTTATATTCACTACCTTTAATTTTTTTCTTTTCCACCTCTCTTCCCTTTTCTTCAATTTGGTTTCACTCCCAACAACTTCACTAAAACCAGTCAGGCAAAGATCATTATTGACTAGTTTTATCATTTAACAATATATTTGTCTTCTCTGGAATTTGTCTGATTATACCCCTTCTTGAAGTGTGCTCCTGTCCTGAATTCTCTTCTTTCATAGATAGCATCTATTTTTAAATAATTCTTTTCAACATAGTTTTCTGGCTATTGTCCTCTCATCCATCCTTTAAATGTAAACAAATGTTGGTGATCCCCAATTTTGATTCTTGGTTCTTCATTCTCTTCATATGCTATTAACAATTCCATTAATCCCAATAGCATCACTTGTATGATGATATTCTACCAGAATCTATTTCTCTAAGCTTAGACTTCTCTCCTAAGTTCCAGACTTATACATCCAATTACTTTATTATATATGTTTACTTTAATATTTCAAATAAAGCTTAAACTAAACCCATCCCCAAAGTGAACATTTTCTCTTAAAACTTGACAACCTAGGTCCTCTACCCTAATAAAATGTTGCACTGTCTCTCCAAATATTTCAGTCACCTGAGATTATCATTTCCTCCTCTTTCTGTATCATAACATCTAATGAGTGACCAAGACTTATTGATTATACATCTTTAAATAACTTCACATGTATTGATTGCTTCTATTAATACCTTAATTCAGACCATTATCATTTCTTAACTGATCTATTACAATATTCTCATAAATGATCTCTCTGCTTATATCACTCCAGTCCATCTTTTATATGCTGCCAAAGTAATCCTTCTAGAAATAAATATCTGACCTAGAAAGTCTGTTGCTTTACATGCTTCAATAACCTACACAATATTCATAAATCCAGTCTTGTCTACTTTTGCCTAAACTCGTTTGAAGTCATTAGCCATATTATTCCCTTTACTTGAAATGCTCTCTACACAAGAGCCCAACATTTCTGTAGCTTTTAATATTCAACTCAACTATTCCACAAAGTCTTTCTTAAACTAATATCTATCCTTCCCAGGTCAAAATGGTCATCATCTTTTCTGATACCACTGTCTTTTCTCTCTTGAATTATCTCATAGAGCCTCCTTACTTATTACATTTATTTGCTAGACTCACACTAGAATAAGTCAGCAAGGATAGGGAGCTATTTTATGTGTCCTATTATTTCCAGCACCTAGAACAACACCACATGTGTTTAATAAATGTGTGTTGAATGAATGTTTCAGTTTCAGGTCAAGAATCACATTTCCATGAAACCTTTTTTGACCATCTAGTTGAAATACATTTTATTTTACTTTATAGTTTTGTAGAATATATTGTTAAAATAATCCATATTGGCACATAAACATAGCATGTGAGCCACATCTCTCAGCCCCTCAGTAATACTGATAGCTTCTTTAGGGTATGTGTTAGGTCTTTGGTGTTCTCCACAGTCTAGAATGTTGCTGAACTCATGTTAAAAATCAAGTACTTTTGGAATTATGTAAAAAAAAAATGAAAAAACAACTAAAAACAATTTTAAGTTTAAAATAAGTTTGAAAACAAATTATGGTTAATTTGTTAATGTAATGTATATATGTATATATAGCATATAGACACATCATTTGCAGTTAGCTATCCAGTTATGGAAATATATACATATTACATTAAAAATTAATCATTTTATGTTATCCATCTAATTGGAACAATTGGTGTTAACAGGTATGTAAATAAAAATGCTCACGAGATTTAACATTTGTTATATTAAACAAGGATGAAAATTATAAAATGAGTAAAAAATAATAAAATAATTCTTTTAGAACACGTTAGATAAATAAAATCATATTAAAGAAAAGCAGTAGAAGAGACAGACCTGCATATCTTCTCCTTGTGGAGTCCACTTCTTCTGTGGTCACATCGTGTAATGGACAGACATAGACAAAGGAGATGGGAGTGAGTGGATGTACTCAAAAGGTAAAAAGTGACACTGAAGGAAAGGGCCTCAAATCATTTTGAGAAAGAATCCTGTGTACAGTTGTAGGGAAAATATAATCAAATGGACACCATAAAAAAGAATACATAAGAATTGATGGCAAATTGATTAAACTACCACAGGTTAGCAGAAATAGAAAAATAAAGTTAGTGTAGAAATAAAGAAAATTCAAAAGTTTATAATTATTAACGTACGGCAAATCCTGAACACTGATGCTAAGGAAAGATACTATTAGTAAAAACAACATTACTTGTATGGTCATACCGTTCAATACATTATTGAATCCATTTAAAATCTGTGAAAAATGCTTTAGAATTTTTAATTATCTGAAGAAAAGAATTTAATTGAGTCATCATCAAAAAGAGCAATAGAAATAGTTCCAATAGGTTTCTTTGTCTTTTATGCTTTCCCAGTGCATACATGAAAACAAAGTATGATCATCAGGTCAGTATTTCTTTGAACTACTTCAATATAGCAACATATTATCATAAAATACCATGAAGTAATAAGTATAGTACTACTCACTATAAAAAGAGTGGCTGAAATATATGACTTTATTTCAGTATTAAAAATTCAAATAAACTTCAATGTAGACACATTTTATTTGATCATATTCTCTTATAAAGCCCATTTATTCAGTACATTCTTATAAACACCATATTATAGCTCATTAAATTTCTATTAAAATGTATCCATCCAAATCCAACATCTACTATAATAGATATGGCACATGTTTTGGAAATGCTTCTTTGCCCTTGGCTAGTGGAGTTCAGATGACATTTTTTATACAGTGACTTGAAAGCAAGAAAATGCCTGCTAATGTCAGCATTTTAAGAAAACATTTCTTCCAAAAATATTAGTGAGTTAGTGCTAGTATGATTGACACAGATGAACAATACCACAAAACAAAAATCTTCTATTTTAATTACCCACTTAGCTTTGGACCAAATAACACAAAATTCTTAAACATCACATTTACTTCTGCAAAAAATGTATCATTGTTTTTGAATAATTCATAGAAAGGCATATTGTATCAAAATATACATTATTGAAATTATAGTTCTTCAGAGAATTATTTTTTATAACAAATTTATCTCTTTATATGAATAGTGAGAAAATGAAAACTTTCCATTAAAAAAGTGCTAAGAGGACCGAAATTTCTTTTCTTAGACAAAAAAAGAAATCTTAGTATAAATTATAGAGAACTGAAAAGGAATTACACTTTTTGAAACTTAATGCCATTTTTGTTATTATACAAATATATTTTTCACATATTCAAAATTATGATTACATTACAAAACAGACTGGACTGACCACTAGGAAAAATCTTCCTATCCTCCAGAAATGTACTAGCACACATTAAAATGACACATGCCAAAATTTCTTTTTCATTCTCAGTCCACTTGCTTCTTAAAGAGGATAAGGTAGGAAAGTCACAGATGTATTAATAACATAGGCTAATGCTGAATTTAATAATATCTTGCATTAATTTCTACATTCAAAATTTCCCTAGATACAAATTAACCATACTACTAAAATAGTTTCCTCACATGTTAAAATGAAATTGGCATGACTTAGATGAAATACATGTTTATGTATATTCTGTTTTTAAGAAAAGTTTTTTGCAAAAATAATAAAAAGTACATAAATAAAAGAAGCTTCTGTCTTTACCTAGTATTTTCTAATATCTTGAATTCCTATGTAACTGATGCAATGGATCATATGATATGGATTTTCATATGATATGGATACAAAATATTAAAAATTCTTCTCCACTCACTCATTAATGTATTTTAGTGAACAATGGAAGCATACAGAGTTCAAGTGACTTACCCAGTGTCAGAATACAAGTTCAGTGGCAGAGCCAGAAATAGAACAGAGCTTTCCTGATTACCTGGTCAACTTTCCTTCTACTAGGTGTTATATGACCCAGTAAAAACATGTGAAATAAAAGTTAAACAAGGAAGAAACAAAAATTATCTCATGGTGACACCTGAACTGGACATTTTTCTATAGAGTATTTTATTAGAAACGTTTTTCAAAAGTGGTACATTCTAAGACTGTCAAGTAATTCACCAATGCTTTTATTATTGTAAGGAATATGGTTACATTTATCTTAGGATCAGCAATTTTAAAAAGTCTTTTAGAAAAAATACAAGTTATTCATAAGGGGGTGAAAATGAAATAGTTTAATAATGACCTCACTATTAATTACTAAAAGTGTCAATTAAATCATTTTTCCATTGTTTATGTGAATATGATGCATTAATAAATAAGTCTATATAAAATTGTAACTTTAGTTAGCAGATAAAATATTCATGCAAATAATAAAATCTTAATGCATTACTATAGTTATGTCACATATATTTAAAACTTTTTTTGATTTTTTTTGTAGTTACAGTTTTATTATGTAACTATTTGCATTAAACAGACTCATTTTAAAAGAGAAACGCATAGTCAACTATCTCACTTAAACAGCTATATCTTATGTAGATAGTAAAATGCTATAAATAATTATTTTGGATACAGTATTATCATGAGTATCAGACTTCAGTGAATCTTGAAAGAAACTAAAAGGACTCTTTCCACTATTCCCATCCTTCTACCTTTCCTTTGATCATTACCATTCCACACTCAAACATCCTATTTTTCACTGATGCTAAAGGAGGTTCTAACGAGAACACTTTGATCTTTCATTTAACCAATAACCAGTTGTCAGTCACTTCCATAACCAATAAACTGACGAAACATTTAACCAATAGCCAGTAAAGAGTGATTAAGGATAGTAAAAAGTATACTTTCTCTTAGGTGCCCAGTACTGTCACAATTATGGCTTAGAAAATGTGAAGACTTTGTTAAAAAAAAGAAAAGTATAAGATTTGTATTTGTGTTAATTCCACCTTACAAAATAAAATCTGTTTTGCAAATTCCACTGAAGTGAAATATATAAAATATAATGAATAAACTCATAAGTACCATTGCATCACTTGTGGTATATTATTTTTCAACAAACATTTAAAAATTTAAGGTACCATCAAATTGCAAACTATAAAAAGTAAGGATGGGTTTTTATTCAAGTAAAATAATACTATACATACATACTAACTAAAGCTGTTTATAGTTTGTCCCCTTGTAAAATTTTAAATATAGCAAGGAGTACATGTGCAGATTTGTTATATGGGTATATTGCATAATGGGGAGGTGTGGGCTTCTATTGAACCCGTTAGCCAAATAATGATCATGGTACCTGACAGGCAGTTTTTCATCCCCTGCACCTCTCCCTATCAGCAAGCGTAACACAATGGTAAGTATCTGTGTATCTGAATATAGAAAACGGACAGTAAAAATACAATATTATAATCTTATGGGATCACTGTCAAATATGTGTCCATCATTGACTAAAACATTATGTCGTGTGTGACTATGTATATGTGTGTGTATAAAATCATTTTTTATTATGCATATTTGCTTAAAAAGTAATCTCATGAGAATGAATATACTGTCAGTGTTTACGAAAAATTTTGCGCAAATATAAATTCTCTTGCCAATGTATATTTCAATCGAATGCATATCTCAAGTTCAAACAGAAATTATCATCGTAATCAGTTTTATTAAAAAGGCAAAAACATGGGACCTGTTTATTCATAAATGCAGTTTTCACCAAGGGTGTGCAATATCTATTCGAAACTTTGTTGAGAGGTCGATATTCTCACTTATCACCATTTACAACAAGCATACACGTGGCCCTATTATCAGATTTAATGGTACTTGAGCAGTGTTCAAGCAAGCACTATGTTAACAAGGATCCTGACACAATGAAATCGAAGCCTGAAGATTTAAAGTGTACATTAGAACTTGCACATAATTGAAAGATAACTACAGTGTGAGGGTTTATTAAAGGTCAGAGAATGTCAGAATGTTTCCTTTGGGGGAAGGAATGATACCTTTCTATAAAGAAGCTTACATAAGTATCTATTAGTTGGAGGTCTTCAGTGACACAGAGTTAGGATAGATCACGATTATAAAAACAAAATGTTTCTCAGGTTTACAGATGACAAACTAAAATTTCTCCTCTGTGACAAAAACTTTTTGAGAGTCCTTCAATCCAAATGATGAGACCTAACGGTTTCTAAATTAATTGTTTCCCATAACTTTTTCTACAACCATAAAATTACTGAACATTTACAACCATTTCAACCTATTAAACAAAGTACAATCTTTTAAAATATTGCTATTTTAAAAAAATTCACTAAACTTACACAAAAGGTTTTTTTAAATGTTTTCTTTCTTAAGGCATTCTACGATGTTTTTCCTGAAATCTGACACCTAATGCATTTTTAAATGTAGGAAAAAAAGAGTATGTACTGAAGAAGTTTAAAATCACTTATTCCCAAACCATAGAATGGTCTTTATCACACAAAAAATATGAGTACTGAAGAACAGACTTGGGCTTACAAACTTTTCTGTATGTTCAGTGGAAACTGAGCCACCTTTAAATGAGCCGCTAAGTTCATAAATAATGAGATTTCACCGTAAAGGAAAACATGTCTATTATCAAAGAATGTTATATTTATTCCTGAAAGTGTCAGTAGTATTCAATTTCCAAATTCTATCGGAAGATTTGTTATATAAAACACTTACATAATTTGTCTTATTCTTTTCATCAAGAATAAAATACTTTCTTTCTAAAATAACCCAGAAATAATCCGAAATTACTGAGCTACTAATAAGGACCAAGAACACAATTGATTCCTTTTTCCAGATTGGATGAATCAAACTAGTGTCTAATAAGAAGGCTGATTTAAAATATTGCTTTAGACTGAAATAAGTTGTTTCTACTTTTAAGAAATCTTAAAATATTCAACAACAAAGGAAAACAAAAGTATAAAATATTAAAGCACCCAAGAAAAAAA